TGCCCCCCCAGTCTGGGGGTTCCAGCCTGGGGGCTGCGCCCCATCCCCCCCCATCCTCATCTCACCCTGTCCCCAGCTGCAGTGACCTGGGGTGTGGGGGGCAAGAGGTCGGCGCTGTTTGGGGACCCTGGAGGGGCTCAGCCTGAGCAGATTTGGCCCCTGGTTCGCTCACACCAGTTCACCCAACTCACCACCCCACTGCCCCCAGTCTCGGCCACCAGCCACCCATCACGTGTCCTCAGGGTGCACCAGGTCTGCCTGGCAAAGGGGAGGGAGAAAGAGGGGGTGAAGGGCTCCCCATTTGGCCCATGGGGTATTTCAGGGTGCAGAAGTGGCAGAGAGCACGGAGGCAATGGCAGATCCCTGGGTGAGGGCAAGTCTGAGACTTACTGGGACCAGTAAAAGGCCACCACAGCCACTAAACCAAGCCACAGTTTAATCCTGCTGAGGCCAAAAGCCACAGTGGTTGGTTCCTCTCCATCACCTGGTTCCTCTCCATCACCTGGTTCTTCTCCATCACCTGGTTGCCCTCCATCCATCCTTTCCTCTCCTTCGTTCTCCTCTCCAGCACAAGGCAAATTCATGCCTGGGTCTGCGGTGGAGATGTTCAGGAGCAGAGATGGACTTTGTTGCAAAGAAGCCTCCTGGAAAACAGGCAGATGGACACACACACCAGCACCAAGGCCTCTGCTGCGGGTGAGGATGGACACCAGGCCTCCAGACTCCAACTCTGCTTGCAGGGGGATATCCAAAAATTTGCCAGGAGCCTCTGATCCACGACAGACATTTGCTTCCCACCATGGAAGGCAGAACAAAAAGCCTGGCAGCAGTAAAACCAACGCGTGGCTGGGCACCCTGTCCCTCTGCCAGGACCACAGCTGAGCTTGGCAGCTCAACCCACCCAGACCTTCATCTTCCCCCCTCCCCCCCCCGCCAGGGAGGAGGCAACTGCTGTCTCCGTTTCAGCGCACAAAGACAACGCCATGCCCAGCAGGGTGGATAAATCAGTGTCACTTGGCTGCCTGGGGCTGGCTTCAGCTTGGGTGACCCTTGGGACAGGGACATTGGGGTACGGGGAGGGCCCGGGTTCTGGGGAATTGGGCTGGCAGATTGTGCCCCTACCTCTTCCAGTTTGGATGAAGTGGAGATGATGTCCTCACACATCATCAATGCGACCTCGCTGGGGTAAGGGCTGTCCAAGAAGGTGGTATAGAAAAGCTTCTGCTGAATCAGCTCATGCTCCTGTGCCATGTTGAAGTCAATGGCCCTCACCTCCTTGACTATGCTGGGAAACACGGCCAAGGGAGGAGTTAGGAGCATCCTTCCCCCCCAGTACCTAATACCTGTGCATTTAGCCTTCTCCAGGCTTTCCAGCCATGTGTTTCCACCAGCAAAGTCCCCTCCATGCCAGAAGCCATGTCCCTATGACACCAGTGCCTCCAGATGGGTGACAGCCACCAGCTACCACACCCCAAACCCAAAAGGCACAGCTCACTCTGGAGAGGTTTCACCTCGGCTGTGTGTAAATGGGCTGATTCCACCCTATCCACCCTACAACCAAGCCTGTGAAGAGGAAGGAGGTTTGCAGCAGGTCTTGAGCTCCTCACAGATCCGTTTCTACCCTCTGATGTTCTCATTGCTGCTTTCCAAGAGGTGTTGGACTTCATGGAAGTTCTCCTTGCTCCCCTTGCCCAAATCACTGTAGGAGAACAGGTCCTAGGAGATGTACACGGAGACCCCGTCCCCCATCACCTTCGGGCTGAGCTGAGGGTCGATGTTGGCCACCCCACCATGTAGCAGAAAGGGTTAACACAGCAATGTGGCTATGTCCTCTCCAACCCCCATCATCAAACAAGCCAAGCCCAGAGTCCAGCACTACAGAGATGGAAATCCTGGCCTTTAAATGCTGATGGTGGGTGCAAAGTGCAGATCTCTGCTACAACCAGCTTCAAACTGCTGGAAAGTCTCCACTTCTGGCCTCCTCCCTTACTCCCATTGACTTTTTTGTAAGAAACACCCATTTTATCAAAATTCTCCTGGCTTTTGGCTGGGGAGGAAGAACTATGCAGCTCTTCTCCACCCAGGCCATCTCCACAAGGGACCACCAAAACGCAGCCCTTTCAGGGTGGGTTTGACAGATGCTTTCTGCCCTCTCTTGCCCGCAGAGCCAGCCTGCCCTGCCTGGTTCTGGCTCTCCTCCAGGCTGCGCTCCAGCTCCCTCTGCTCCGCCTTGGTGTGGGTGGACAGGGATTGCCACAGGCTGGGTGTCACCAATGCCACCAGCAGGCTGGCACAGATGAAGGCCTCAGTCATGATGAAGATGACGAAGGAAATGGCTGACATCATCTTCAGGGTCTGCCCTTCTTCCCTGTTGGGGACAGGGACCATCTGGTTGATGGTTGGTGGTGACCATCTCCCCAGCACCAAGCCCCAGCATCCAACCTCTCAGCATCCAGGGGAAAGGAGCCCTCCATGTGCCCCACATCCCTCCCAGGGTGGGGGGACACAGCTCAGCCCCAGCTGTCCCTGAGCCCCTGCCCCGTGGTGGGCTCACACCCTACTGCATGCTCACTGGAGGACCTCATGAATGTCCAACCAGCCATCCAGCATGATGCAGGTGACCAGCAAGTACAGGGCCTTCCCCAGGTCACCAAAATGGTCTGGGACAGACTTGCCAAACAGGATGATGCCCGGCACTGAGAAGATCTGCATGGAACCAGTGGGGGGGGGGGCCCAGTACCTTTCCCGTGCTGGGATGCTGTGCTCAGCATCCTCCAACCCCCAGCACTGGGGCTCCCTAGTACGGGCAGGGTCCAGCCAAGCTCCTCAGCCCCAGTGCTGGGAGCTCAAAAACCCCTCCAGCATCCCAGAGCCTGCCAGGAAGATGGCATGGACCAAGGAGGTGGGAAAGGGCCATCCTACTGCTGGCTCTGTGCCTGCTGTCCCCATGGTCCCCAAGCTGCCATGGCCAGCACTGGATCCTGTTGGCCAAGACACTGCCCCAGGCTGATGCTCCCAGCCCAAGTGGGTGTTTCCCAGCTGCTTCCCAGCATGGAGATAAAGAGGATGAACATGATGTTGCAGAGCTTCGGGATGACCTTGAGAATGGCCTGAAGGCCATCCTGGCCAGCCCCTTGACCAGCCTGCAGACCTGCAGCAGCCTCATCGCCTTGGGGCAAGGCAAGAGCTCCTGTCACCCCACTGACTGTGCCAGGACACCTTGGTCCCCTCCTGGCCTCTCCCACCAGGGTCTGGGGAGGGTCTGCACCACCAGGCATACTCCCCAAATCAGGGCAAAAAAGAGGATGAAGAGCAAGAAGTGGTGACGTTGCCTTTCCCAGTGCAGATCCAGCACGTGGGATGGGGGCACCACACCGTGGCCAAATCAACACAGGGACATGGGAGGCTTTGGGGTACAGCACCCCCTGCCCTCGCTCACCTCAGGATCTGGAAAATCTTCTGGACATTCAGCCTGGGGACCAGGGGCCCCACCGTGAGGCAGACGATGAGGAGGAAGTTGAAGATGTTCCAGCCATCCCGCAGGCAGAGGCGCGGGGGGCTGAGGCTGCCCTTGTGCACCCCAAATGCGGGCCCTTTCCCTAAGGTTCCTCCCCCGGGAGCAGCCACAGGGGAGAGGGGAC